AAATTATGCAAAAATAGCAAAGAGTGAACTTTGAGGTCATGCTGTGCGACTTTGAAAGCCGTTAGAGAGATGAGTGGACGCATTTGAATTAGTAGTATACCAAGGTATCCAGTGATGTAATTTTACCCACAAACGGACTTGAAGTTTTTGAGCTAATTTTTTTTAAACCACTTTTGTCCAAAAAAGCATATTTTTGACCCAAAATCAAAAACGCATTCTGGATATTTAAAATTAAGACAAGTTTTACAAAGTTTGTATAATAAGCTTTCAGAAAATATATAACATGCTGGATATATAATACCATTTTCATTGTCTAATTACTCAATTAAAAAGCAAGCCAAATAAACTGCATCTCTACCTTAAGAGCAGAAGGTAAATGTAATATAGTAGGCGGACATGAGATGAAAGTTAATTTTTTGTCAGCATTGCACGACTGATCAAAGCCGATCACAAAAATTATGAATGAATGGAGCTACGGTAAAACAGTAATGCGCTGTGTACTAATTGACTTCAAACAATAAAAATACAAGTGGCTTCCTATTATTTTCCGACTATGACTTTACAGTAATGTAATTTCTTAAACTTGATCCGCTTAAATCCCGAATCCATAAAGGACTTCTGATCTGATGTGAGGAAACATGCTTTTGCGTTTGTCAGTTATTTTGATTTACCATGGTAGTGCTTTGTAAATAATAGTACACGTGTTTTGATTGACTTATACTTGTATTATGAAGGAAAGAACCAATAGGACTGCTCATTTTGAACAATGCTTGTTAAAACATGCATCAATGGTCAAACTACAAAAATTTAAACGTCGCATTGCGTACATAGTAAGCCCCAGAACGCATGTTTAGGTGCTATGAGACTTGGTTTTATGGTTTTATTTTCAATGTCAACAAACTTTTTGTTTTGATTTTAATAAAATATTTAATTATAAAGTAGCCGGCAAATCTGTCGCAAGTAGGCAGACAGTTTGGTCGGTTGCTGGCTGTAAATGAAAGCCCTGAACTAATGTGTTGTTTCTACCATGGGGCAATCGCCTGATTTTGTAACAAGCTAGTAAATCTCTTTCTAGGAAGCAGAAAACAGTGGTAATGAAAGCGATGGTGGTAACCAGCCTGATGATGGTGATGGTGATGATGATGTAGGCAGTGATTCTGGTAGTCATAGTAACCAAGGGGATGATGATGAAGGCGATGAGTTGATGGCAGAGGAAGATGAATATGATTCTGAAGAAGATGAGGAAAATAACCACCGCCGTAAAAAATCCAGATATGGTGGTTTTATTTTAGATGAAGCAGGTAATTACATTTTTTAGTCATACCCCCTTACCGAATACAGTCTGGGGCTTATGGATTGGGTTCTGTCAGTTTGTTCATTGGTCCATGACATTTTCTCAGATATGAGCTAATTAATATTCATTTTCCATTCTACGAGCTACGAATTAACTACTTTAATTATTTTAACTTATATTTATTTCAAATATTTCAATGTAAAATTAATCTGCTTTAATAAAAGTGAAAAAATATATATACTTTATTTTTGAAATCGCGTCTAAAATACGTATTTTTAGACATTGACCTCTGACCTGGCAGCCATTTTTTTTTCAAAGCGTGTTGTCCGTTTGTTACGGCCAAAGTGGCAACAAGAATTTAATTATTTTCTTTTCCGATGGAACGCTGGTAAATCACATTAATAGTGAGAAATTAGTATTCCTTGTATCGCTGACTGAATATAGCTTATGAATTTATTTTTATGAACAAGTCATGAAGCCAAAAACATCAATCACGGTTACTACACTCGAGTGCAAGTGCAGATTAAACAAACGACAGCTTGACGCATCGCTGCCGGTGAAGTGAGCAAGTTATTATTCAACTCGGCAAATCCTACACGCAACTAAACTTGCAATCGTAATCATTCCTTCTGTTTATTTATCATTGTCTCCCCTTCCATTATCTTGATGTACGACTTATTCCGATCTGGTTCGTTTGTTAAAACTAACAGAATGTCAATCGGAGGTTAAAATAAAAACACATTAGGCTGATGTCACACGTGTACGTTGATTTTGAGCAGCGGTATCTTCTTTCAAGTTTTGTTGTGCATTAATTTTTTGCATTGTGTTAAAACCAACAAGGACAATAGAATGATGGTCCAGTGGCCGACATCCTGTGTGTATCATAAACAAATAGAATAATGCTGGTCGCCAACTTTTTGTCCTGGTCGGAAATTCTGAGTGCCGACCAGCGTGGGCAGATCCCTGATAATGGTATAGATTTGCTCCTGATTTTTTTATCAGATTCAAAATGGCCAACTGGCAGCCATATATGATCTGAAAATGACCAATTCTGTTTTTTCTGCCATTTTGTCTGTTAAGAATACTTATTTTTTGCCATTTTGATTGTAACTTGAGAATGTAACTACTAAGTTAGTACAGTTGAATCTTGGTTTTGCTTCACAAAAATGCGAGTTAATTTTTACTGCTATCCTACCCATGATGACCCACTGGCAGCCATTTTTTGCATTATTCTGCTTATGTCTTGAATTTACACTGTCCAATTTATTACACAGGCAATTGTAGCACATCAATGAAAATAGATCTTTTTTCATGAGTCAATACAAGATGCTTGACTGGCAGTCATTCTGCTTGTATCCCAAATTCACATACTGTATTCACTCTATTGGAAGAAGTGTATATAAACCAAAATTTCCATTCGTTGTACACTGAATCATTAAAAAACTACTATTTTTTTTAGCTTCGCTGTTGACTTTGTAGAGCAGAGCTTATCGTATGAATGATTGTCCATTGTCCACTTCAAATTTCCACTCTTTCAACTCCTTCTTGAAAACTACAATTCTGTATGCTTTGATACTTGCTGTATATGTACCTCCTGTAGAGCTCACTTAGATTTGTTCATTTTGTGATGATATCTTCAAATCTCTGATTTTGATGAATATTTTTGTCATTTTCAGTGAAATTTTTGACTTGTTGAAAAGGTTTGATTGCTTTGATATTATTATACATGTAGTTAAGGTAGCGGGACTATTATTTGCATACTTGTTTTCATCGTCTAATTGGGACCAAACGACTACAAATAGACCCAGAAAAGTATATATTTTTAGAATCGCCAGACTTCAAGCTTTTCAAAGGTGTGTTTGCCATGCCCATATCGGCATTCTACGTTGCGTTACTCAATCAAAAGTGAAAAATTACTTTTTTTGTAAAAAAAATAATTAT